CACAGTTGTTTCAAAGTAACAAGCTGAAGTCGAATAATTGCCAGTTATTGTTTCATATGTGGTTAATAGTTGATCCACTAAGTATGAATACAACATCGGGGACGTTGCGGCCAGGAAACAAGTTAGCTGCGAAAAGCCCAGTGGTAGCAGCAATCTCAATGGAGCCTTCAGCACTTGGCATGCTATCCAACGAGGCTTTCAGTGTACCTACTTCTTCTGCGAGCACAGTAACTTGCTGCCTAAGAAGAACTACTTCTTCCTTCAAACTCTTGTTTTCTTGCAGCATCACTTCAAAATTGCTGCGCATGTCATTAAATCCATAGTTAACGCTAGTGCTCAACTGTTGGATCATAAAGGCAATATTGTCCAAAGTAGGCTTAGATGTAGAAGTAGCAGTAGTGAACATTTCAAATTTTAAAGAAAAAGAAGACTGGGGTAAAATTTTTTTTATTTATTAATATAAAATTAAACCAATAATAATTAAAGTAAATTCATCGCTCCAGGCCGTATATATTCGTATTTTCTATCATGATGCCAGAAGATATACTCCCTTTCATTCGTTCCTACACTTCTTCCGCATAAAGCCACAATGGATTTTACACTTACGATTTTAAGCTTAGGCTTGGCAGATGGCGTTTTATACGGCCATATATGTCCTCTTTCATAATTGACTGGGAATATATTAACCAAAGCCAACAGTCTGGAATCATCATTTGCTAAATCATATTTGAAGTAGGTTAGTGCTTCGCCAAAATAAATACGGTTGCTGATGTGTGATATTTGTGCTTATATAGTTGAAAAACAGTGAAGAGTCAATAGCTAACAATTACTATTTTTATTATAAGTCTGAGAGAAGAACTAATAAATGAGGGTACGACCTGAATATATATGAGGGATGACGACTGTAAATGTCTGACGTCGTCTATTAGCTGAGAATGAATAAATAGAGAGTTAGGAGATGCATGATCTATGTGAACACGACATGATGTTCAACGTATTTCCATTTTGCCTGTTGGTGTTAAGCCTTAAGCATAGCTTAACAAAATAGCTGTGGCGGTTGCCAACAACGTGCTTAGTATAGCAATCTATTACAATACCTTTGGGGGTAAGCAACTGAGAACCAAACTGCAACG